TCCCTCTCCCCCGGGCATGGGCTCCAGCCCTCTGCCCCATTCAGCGCCATGGCAGCCTCCCACCTCAACAACATGAACAACCATTACCATTAGAGGCTCAGCCGCACCAGGCGGATCTCCCCGTCCCTGACAGTGTGGGGCTGTGGAGCTGGGGAGCTCAGCAGGGAGGGATGTGGGGTGGGATCGTGCCCTGCTCTCAGTTGCCCCCTTTTAGATTTGGTGAGTGGTGTTGGGGGCGAGGGGTGCTTGCAGGGTAGCTGGGTTGGTTCCCTGATGTGGGTGGCTGGAGGAGAGAAGCCATCTAAATTTAGGGTGAGGAGGGATTCGTGATCCTGTGAAGGGACATGGATACCTAAGGCAGGGTGTGAATGAAAGGAAAAACCAGGGGCTCTCCTCCTGGCAGGGACTGTGCCCCCCTCTTCCTTTGCAACATGCCACCCACCCCATGAATGTCCTTAGCTCTGCCCCCAGCCCGTGCCTGCCTTCCCCTCTCCCTGCAGAGACGAGTCTGGAGCTGGAGCTCCAGGGCAACCATGTCCATGGGTGAGTGTCTCACTGGGCAGGGGCAGGGAAAGGGGACCTTCCTGGCCGCTCCTTGGTCCCCCACCTTTATCTCCAAAGCCTCCCTTTCCTCTCTCCCTCCTACACCTCCTGCCAATGGTGGCTTCCTCCAGACCTCAGGAGAAGCCTTGATCTGGAGAGCAGATGCCCTTCATGGGTTAACTCCTGCCCAGGGCAGGGCTCTGGGGTTGGAGGTGCCAGGAGCAGGCTTGGGAGGCACTGACAGCCCTCAGGGCAAGGCCAGAGCCCAGAGGCAGCAGAGCCTGGTCCCTGCGACTCTGTCCTCTCCCCAGTGCCCAAGGACCACACTGCAGATCAGGATGGTCCCTGACACCCTGCACACAAGCCTATGCCTGCTGGTCACTTCTAACTTCAATGCTCAGTTTACTGTGGCTTTAGCCCCTTGCATGCAGGGCTTGGTGGGACATCTTCCACAGGTGGGGACAGCTGCAGGTACTGGGGTGGGAGGTGGAGCAGAAGAAGGGCTGACAACAGGGCCCTGACAGCAGGGCCCTACCGAGGGGCAGCTCTGGGTCTCTCCCTCTGAGTCCAAGGAGGTGCCCCCATTCTCCAGAGCAGGACTTTGGCCTGGTGGATGCAGAAGAGCTGGGCATGCTGGGCTCTGCACTGGCTGTGGGGAGGGACTGGTCTTCAATAAAATGGAGAGGTGCTGTGACCTGTGTCCTCTCTTGTTTGCAGGGGGTTGGTGAGAGTGGAAAACCCCCAGCAAATCCCCTCCCATCCGAGCCAGAGCATCTGCAGGGCTGGGGAAAAATGTGGCCACCCTCCTACATCACCCTTCCTCCAGGCATCACCTCTGGCTCTTAACAGCCCCCAAGAGATAGGGCAGAGTTGGAAAACTCTGGGCTTCTTGAGACACTCCTCCAGAGAAGCCATCCTGTTCCCAGGATGGCAAGGGGATGTGGCAGCTGGAGGTGAAGAGGAGGTCAGCTGGCCTGGTGGGATGTCTGCTGCCCTGCCATCATCCAGGGGAAACTGGGATGCCAGGAGCCAGATCTCTTGTGACTCACAGAGCCCTGTGCAGCCAGCTTGGGGCGATGCACTGGGCCCACCAAGGCGTGATCCTGCAGCGGCTGTCCTTGCTGGGCTGTGCTGTGCCAGGAAGTCCTGAGCCAGGCTCACGTGTGATTGATGTAGGGGTGTGCAGGGAAGGACTGCTTGCCTGGCTTCAGGAACATGCCCACGGATCCACTGTTGTCTGTGGTGGCTGGTGGGGGCTCAGGGGCTGCACTCTGCCTGCCTCCCCCTTTGGAGCTGTGCTCCCCATCCCATCCCCATTGGAGGTGCCAGGTGCCAGGGCTGGGGCCCAGGTTTACGGCAGGGATCAGACTGGCTGTATAGCGGAGTGCCATGCCTATGGAGGGGGTGATCAGCCCGCAGGTCCTCTCCTCCAGCCTCCCAGATGAGAGCAGCCCCCAGATCCGGGAGCTCTGTGCTGTCCCCTCTGTGTCCCTCCAGGGTCTGGTCACTCTCATGGCCTTGGTGGCATCTGCTCAGATGCATCCTCGCTACCCTAATCAGCTTAAGGGAGAGGGATCTGATGTCAGTGTCTCCTCTGGGGAGGGCTCAGGCTGCAGAGTCGGTGGGGGGCTGGTGCTGCCAGTGAGGAGCCTATGTATGGGAAAGAAGCTGCAGGGACTGGGGGGAGGGGTCTCACCTGGAGGGAGCTTTTTCTCCCTCCAGGGTCCCTGAGTGTTGCACAACCTGATCCCCAAGGACGGCACGAGGTGAAGTGAGGGAGAAAGGAGTAGTTACTCCCATGCAGCCAGCACTCAGGCTGGAGACAACCCCCCTCCAAGCTTGGCCTTACAAGGGCAAAAGGGGGAGGCTGGCCACAGCTGACTCCCTCAGAGCCGGGACAGAGGCCATGCCCCCACTGGGGGAGCCCGCTTCAGGGCTTGGGTAACTGCATGACATAGGGCAGAACATGGATTAAGGGATGTGGGTCACTAGTAGCTGCCCCCACTACCATCCCACTCCTATCCCTCCTGTGCCTCTGGCAGTGCCTGCTCCAGGTAAGCCCAGTTCCCTCTGCACTCCCAGCCCTGTAATTTGGGTTCCTGCTGGATCGGAGGCCAGACACGCTGGGGAAATGGGGGAGTTACTTTTTTTTGGGAGAGGAAGGACAGTCACACACCCTCAGTGCCCCAGGCTACAGCTGAGGGCTTGCTGTGCTCTGTTCTGAGCTCGCTTGGCAAAGTCCCCCTGCTCTGTCCCCAGAGTGCCACCCCAAAAGCCAGGAACCAGCCCTGTACTTCCCAGGGACAGCAGCCAGGGGGGAAGGTGGGGGACACCCATGCAGGACTGCATCAGCAATGCTCTTGCCTGCCTGAGTATGCAGTCGGTGTCACCATGGCAACTTGGGATGCTCCCATCCCCAGGCCCCATTGGGAGCAACCTCCCCACCCCATGTTGAGCTTACCAGATGGGGGGAACAGAGCATTACCTCCCACCTAACCCAGCCTCCCCCATCTCCACAGCCCTGTCTGAACCAGCTCGCCAGCAGCGCTGCTTGCTTCAGTCACCAAAACCACCGGCTCAGAGCAGACTGCAGCAAAATCCTGCCAATGGGCGAGCGGGGCCAAGCCCGGCACGGCTCCCGGCAAAACATTGTCCCTGGCCCTGACCGGGGGTGCCCAGCCCAGGGGGCTGGTGGTGGAGCACCAGCCCTGGCAGTGGAGTGCACCAGCTGGGTGGGAAGACACTCCTCAGTGGCTGGCAGTGGGGTGCATTGGCTCAGTGCACCCGCAGGCTCCAGACCTACCTGTGGGAAGTCCTCGGGTGCCCTGCTCGGGGTGAGATGGGGGAACATGGTCCCAAAGGGCCTCAGCCTGCGCTGGGAAGAGCAAGGGAGCAGAGCACGTGGCCTGGCAGTTTCTTCTGCTGCTTTGTGATTAAAGGCAGAAGGTTTTTTTCCTACTTAAAAAAAAAAAAACACAAAAAAACACATATCTGTGTCTCTGGCTTTGCTTAGCCAGCAAGAGGGCAGCATTCAGCCCTGCCCTGGCTTCAGCCTCTTGCTAGGATGGTGAGGGACCCCTCTGACTCCTCCCAAGCCTCCCAGCCCCACAGTAAGGGATCAGAGGGGGGACAGAGTAGCCCCTCTCCTATTTTAGCGGAGCCACGTCACCACTTGCTTCACGTCTCACACTGGCAAGAGCCTTCACAGCACAGCCAGGTCACGTCTGCCTCAGGGGAAGCAGGCTGCCTGGCTGCCTCCCTGCCCACCCCTGCTCCTCCTACAGCTCTCCCAATTCCCACCTATTTTCTCTTCTCTGCATACCCGCTGTGCTCGACCCCCCCACCCCAAGCTGCTGACTCACATCCTCTCTCCAGATGCCACCTTCCCTTGGCCTGGCTCCTGCAAAGCGCTGCATGACTTACTGTGGCTCAGCTGGAGCCCGCAGGTGCAGGCAGTCAGGCTCCGAAAACACCTGTGAAGCCCCTCCAAGGAACCAACCATGATGCTTCCAAAAGATGTCACTTTCTCCCTTGCCAACATGCTTGGGGCTGGGGCTGTACTGCCACCGTAAACCTCTCCCCCCCAG